ATTGGAGCGCACTAAATTTGTGCACTTGAGCTTTTTCATAACAAAAGAATATTTCACGGAAGTAAAATCACATCTCACAAGAACTTAGTACTTAGCTTAGTTCCAAGTGTGCTGAAGCCATGATCTGGTCAATAAGAGGCGCCCGCTGAAACAAGAAAAGCAGAGCGTTCTAGCCAAGTGGTTGAATTGCTTCTCTTGATTCTAAAGGTTCTTGGTTCGATTCTTGAATCAAGGAGCTTTATTTTTAGTTTGTGAGTTGGGCGCCTAAGCCCACCATGGACAGTCTTGCCCTGAATCTGAGAGGTATTCTTCTTTTGTTGCCATTTTCCTTGGAACGGGATTCGACTAAGGACAACTAGGAATCAACCCTTCTTCTTCTCTTTTTTTTTTCGAAATTTATTTTCCAGATCCGACAAAAAAACCTCGAAGAAGCCCTCATTTTCTCCCATGCCACTTTCCTTCTTTCCTCCGAAGAGAAGCTTGGTCGGCGTTTGAACCGACTTCCGCCGCCGCCAACTGGGTTTCTCACCATCTTCCTTTCCTCTCCCGCACGGGTTTGGTGAGGTTTCTCCTTTTTGTAGATCAAACAAGCTAACATCAACCCCTCAACAGCAACTGCTGATCGCATATCTATTATATATTTAGCTCGGATATCGAAGTTTTTATTGTTTATGTTTTCCAGATCTGCTCATCGTCTCCGGCAAATAATAAATTAATTGAGGGAGACCGAACAAATACTTAGCTCCCAGATCTCCACCCTTGGCAATGACAAACCGACGATGAGATGCGCTTGTCATGTCCCATCGGCGGCGGTTTGGTTACAGGAACATCAACGCTGATGGAATAGTGGTTACGGGGGCGACTTGGTGTTTTTGTGGCAAGGACGAGATGAAGATATATGATGAGATGATTTTGGCCTGGCAGGGAATGTAGGGCAACGAGGAGATGGGTTGCAAATTCATCTGCTACTGCTTGGAGCTGAGCGGCGACCGTAATCGGCGAGGATGAACTAGAGGTGGAATGATATGAAGATCCATCACTCAAGAAGAAACCCCACTAATTTAATGACCCCGCACCCAAAATGAAAAGATCTCGGTGCTTCATAATAATGAGTTGTTCTCCCCAAAAACAAAATGAATGGGTTTGTGAGGAGGAACTAAATGATGAATAGATCTGAATTTTTTTTCTTTCCTTCTTCTCACGAAACCATCGATCCTTTCTTATGGGCTTTGTCAGATCCATTGTTCCCCCTATCTGGCGCGCCAATTGTTTCAGCAATGAAACAATTAGGACACCGGATCTGTGAAATGGCAGGGATGGACCCCTATATCTACACTCCAACGATCAACATTATTATTGTGATAGAAAATAAGGAGAGTTTAGGTAGAGAGAGATAAGTGATATGTGAAAATGAGTCAAAAAGAAGGATCCCCTTACTTGGAAAACCTAAGAGCATATTTATAGGTATAGCCTTGTGAGACTTTGTTGGGCTTCAGTTGGGCCTTCGTGGTGTTTCCTGGGTTTTGGCTCATATGTGACCAACGGGCCGTATTTACTGTGAGGGTTGGGTTATGACATAGTTACACCCCCAACACATTCGAATGTCGTTTGTGGTGGATGTCGATATTGCTTGTAATTGTCCATGTGTTGATGCTTACTAGCCATTGAGATTCATCCGATTTGAGTCCTTTGATGTGTCCCCAATTTGTCCTGTTAGGTTGAGATATTACCTTCTTTGATATTGGTTTGCTTGGGACAAGCAAACGTCTAAGTGCAGATGATTGATTCGGGTCTAATTGTACACATTTAACCCCCGTTTTCCGTAGATGTTTGAGGCACTTTCACTACGTGAGGTTCAGTTTTACGCTACTTTGTGCTTGTTTTTAGCATGTTTAAGATCCTAGCAGGTAAAATAGACCTCGGGAACGAAGTTAGACGAAAAGGGGTGAAAACGAATCAATAGGGAGCAATCATCAAGAGTTCACGGTGGAGGCCAGAAGTTCACGGTCAGCCAAACAGTGATGACAAGGCACATGGCGTGAAGTGAGTGGATTGTAGAGAGGTTTCGTCCATCTTGGGGGCATTCAGGACATCATGGCCACTCGACCGTGATAATCAACTCTAGATCGTGAACAACGTTAATGAAACAATGCGCTTTTGCTCAACATTATGATCCATGCTTATAGTTCACGATCGTGAACTGGGATCGTGAAAATCTTTCGATCTTGGTATGAAAGGAGTACTGAGCAAAAAGAGAAAGGAGGAGAACCTAGTGTGAGAAAACTTCTTCTTCTTCAGATTTCTAGAGAGAGAAAGTGATAAACAAGAGAAGACAAGAGAAGAGAAGAGGGTCAGGGTTTCATCCAAGCTCCAATATTTGATATTCTCATCCACAAAGGTTGAGCTCAACACCAAAGGAAGAAGGCAACCCTCTCGTGATGGTTTCTTCTATTCTCCTTAATGTAATCCCACTTTTTAGCATGGAGTAGTCCTTTCTTTCATTTGGGTGTTTGTAAACCCTAGCTAGAACTATGTGAATGTTTGTATGGATCGAATGACTTATGTGTGGTTGTGTTTTAATACAAGTATAAAGGTATTTTCATGAAGGTTTTGTTGTGTTTTCCATTTCAAACTCTTAAGCCAATTTGACCTAGGTAGAGGGAAATCCCCTTCTTGCTAAGAGGCTTTTAAAAGCTGGAATTCCTTGGCCAAATTGTGTCACCTACTTAGGTCGAATTAGGGAAAACCTCTTACTACATGTTAGCACCTTGGGTAGGTTGTATTTTGGTCGTCCGGACTACAGTTCGAAGGAAAACCTAAGCACCCCTGAGTCGATTGGCCAAGAGAGCTACTTTGGTAGCTTGATTTGATATCCCTTAGCCTGGTGACCGAGAAAGTGAAGCTTGTTCACTTGTTGCACTTCCCTACGGTTTACAACCGCTTTTGGGCTTTGCCCAATCGTAGGAGTTGGTTGTGAACACCTAAATTGCCTAGGTTAGTTATATGGTATGCCTCACCAGGTAGAGAAATAGAGAGGAGTTGGATAACTCAAATAGGGAGTCCAACCTAGGGTAGTGCTCAACATCGGTCCAATTGAGGAGCTTGGGGAATTCATGCTTAAGTGAGCTCCCACCTTAATTAGTTAGAGTAATGGTTAGAGTAGCTTAGTTAACTTAGTTTATTAATCAATATCATATTTGGCTAGATAATTAACCTAAGTAGAAGTAACAATACATCCTTGGGTGAAAAATGAAATCATGAGTCACCACAAAGGACAATCTACTAAAGTGGGGTGAAACTAGTGGATAATACATATGGGTTATGGAATGCAGATGAGGAATCACAAGATCATTTGTTCTTTCAATGTTCTTTTCCAAAATAGGTACTAGGATGTCGCAAAGGTCTCAGTTTGATTCATGAGAGCTCTTGATATGAAATGCTTGTCCAACGATCTAAAAAGTTTCATGGTAACTAGTCCAATGCTTATGCCCGATCATGGGCGTGTGCTGGCTGGCCCGTCAGCACAAGGTCTCATAAGTTAGAGACCTCCACCCAGATCAATGCTTGTAAGGCTAATTTAGTCTGCGTGCTATATTATGGGCCTTTAATAGGAAGACAATAATTATGTGTTTGAATGGCCACGACAAAGAAGAAAAGAATGCTAGCCCATTGATAATTAAAATTTTGAGCCCAAAATGCATGGGTCACGATGAAGGAAAAATACATTCTTTCTCAAATTATTTCACTTGGAAAAGGAAGGCTAGTAATTAGCCGCGCACCCATGACCACATCAACGGTACAAATTAAATATGAATAGTTAACTTGACAATATTTCCCCCTAATGCTACATAGTATATAGAATTTTGTAAATTTTCCTGTGATTGTTGCTAAGTTTTTCTGACTTGAAGTAGTTAAAGTCTTATTCACATTCTACAACAATACAATAAATGCTTACTGGATTAACTATAGTACCAATCGAGAATGATTCCTTAGAGAATATAAACATAATTTCAAAGGATATTATTTTTGTTCGGTAACAATACAGATTTTTTTCTAGAAATACAACCCAAAAATAAATTAATTCCAAAAATACCACCCATTTTCGAAAATTTCCAAAAATACCACACTTTTTCACAAACCGCAGGGTGGGGGCGCGATTTATACAAAAACCGCTGGATGTGACATCGGCTTTCCAAAAAACGCCGGGTCCAAAAGCGGTTTGAAACTTTGGACAATAACCGTAGGGGGAGCTGCGTTTCTCATGGAAACCGCTGGCCCCCCGTGGAGCTTTGTAATCACTTATAGAGCTCTTTTGGGTTTAAGAAAAAAACATAACATGTAAACCGCTCAGGGGGCTAGCGGTTTCCATGTGAAACGCAGCTCCCCCTGCGGTTATTGTCCAAAGTTTCGAACCGCTTTTGCACCCGGCGGTTTTTTGGAAAACCGTTGTCACATCCGGTGGTTTTTGTATAAACCGCGCCCCCACTCCGCGGTTTGTGAAGAAGGGTGGTATTTTTGAAAATTTTCGAAAAAGGGTGGTATTTTGGAATTAATTTTTTTTGGGTGGTATTTCTGAAAAAAAATTCTAACAATACTATGTTTTTTTTTAATATTTTAATGAATAGCATACTTTTTTCTTTATGAATCCAAAAAATTATTTATGGAATAGGGCCTACAAAATTCGTTGACCGACCCTGCCAATGCCAATGCAAGAATTTCAAATGACTGCAGTTCCAGGCCGAGTTTTGTAAATGACATGCAACAGTTAAATTGTCTTAGTTATGTAGTAAATAGATAACAGTGATTAGAAGGTAGGGGGTTGGTTGATATACGTAGCATGCTTGCCGTTACTGCTTTTGTTTGGCGCATTTGGGTGTATACTTTGCATGCATTTTGATTAATGAGAAATTGATTGATATGATTTTGTGATAAATGGAAAAATGGAAGAGATCAATCCCCACATTTTTATAAATTGTTTTATATTTTATAAAATAATAGAAGTGGCCAAGTGGGAAAGTCTAACCCGAGGAGCAACGCCATCTCCAATTCTCCATGGGTTGGGTTTGACTTTGAGACTTTTCGCTCTTCTCATAGACATAGTCGTTAAACGCGTTTGAATATTTCTTTTCTTCCCTTCTTCCTTGTCTCTCTCTCTCCCTCTCCCTCTCCCTCTCAAGGCTATATAGTTTGTCTGTTTCCTTCTCCAATCCTCAGATAACTTCACAATACTGATTCTTTCTTTCTTGGCAATTAATTCGCTTCAGCGCGTCTTCAATTCTTTGCTGCTTTGCTGCGTTTCTTCCTTCAAGCTTTACAGGTAATAAGCATGATCCTCAGATTGAAAATTGCTCTCCGTTTCTCAATTCAAATTTTTCTTCCTTCTCATCGACTAGCTTTAGTAATTCATTTGCTCTCTGGGTCTCTTCCTCCTCTTCTATGGCATCAGTGCTACTTTGACATGTCCTTTTGTTCTCTTTGAATTCTTGGCTTTGTAAAGTTTCTTGCTGTTTTCGTTGGCGAGAAAGTCCAAGGTGTTCCCCAAAAGAAGAAAATCGAAACTTCCAAGGTGTGACCTACGGGGTGTGGGTTTTGTGCCCTATCTTTTTTTTTTTTTTTTTGGTGAAAGTTTTGTGCCCTATCTGCTTGCTTGTTTCATGAATGAGAAATTCTGACCTAATTCTGGTGAACTGTTTCGTAGTTGTAAAAATGAGGCCCAAATAGTCCAAGATTATGTTGTTCGGTTATTCTCACTGGTACTCCCCGTTTCTGTTTTATATTCCTTCCTCTCGGAACTTATTCCAGAATCGATCTCTTATTTAGTAGGAATCCTCTCTTTCTTCTACGATGCTTTTGTACTACCACAAGGATCTGCAATTGTAGCATCACCTTAATCCTATTAATTTTAAGGATTGTGCTGTTTATGTGGGTTGACAGTGATCTAGTAGAAGCAGAAATTGACCTTCATTTCGTATTCTGTGTAGGCACTTGGTCTGGTAACTCTTTCAACTGCTAGACGTTGAAATATCTGCCAAATTCACTTGTCTGTATAAAATGTTTGGCTTGACAAAATCCTCCCCAAGTGTTGCCAAACATAACAAGGTTGACCCACAATACCCCCCTCCTTCACATGGTAACCCATTTGATTCTAATGATGAGTTGGGTACTAACAAAACCTTGAAGCCCTCCAAGAGATCTTCTTCAGAACCAGGCCTCAGTGCACCAAGCTCTTGCACCAATCCGTTTGATGACTTTGAGGAGAAAGGATTATCTTCTTCATCCTCTTCCCATTCCGTTGCTTCTACTTCAAGACACAAGTTTAAGAATGATTTCCGCGACTCAGGAGGAATAGACAACCAGTCTGTGCAAGAGTTGGAGGACTATGCTGTTTACAAGGCTGAGGAGACTACAAAGGCAGTCAATGGTTGCTTGAAGATTGCTGAGGATATAAGAGAGGATGCTTCTAAGACTTTGATCAACTTGCATCAGCAAGGAGAACAAATAACCAGGTCGCACAATGTTGCGGTGGAGTTGGATAATGATCTTTCTCGGGTATGTCTCCGTGTTTCAATTTATGCCAACTTCATGATTTCATATAAGCTTCAATAATGTTTGGAACATGAGTTAAGTGTATTTAAGTGATATATTTGGCTCCAGTGCTACTTGAAGGCGTTACTCTTTAGGAACTTGTGGCCGGTCTACTAAATCACATAGTATGTGATATAGATCCGGGGATATCTCACTGTTTCTCTCCAGAACACGAGTTAAAAGTATCTTTCAGTGATATATTTGGTTTCACTTGCACTCTACACATGCTACTTTGATTTGTCGAGTGTGCAATTCTAATTTTGTTCACTGTTGCAGTTTCATTTTGCAGTTATTAATTACTATGCAGTAATATTTTTTCTCACGTGTTCAAATTAAAGTAGGAGAATATACTAATGTCCAAATGATTATGTCACACTAGAATAGGATAGACGTATGCAGTCTGCATATATGCTCACACTTCTAGTCACTAGCAACTCTTGTACTTGAAAATCACATGATGATGGGTTTCTGCCAATATACAAAAGTGATTAAGTTTTCTTAAAGTTTAAGGAATCAAACGATTTGGAGTACTGGTCTTTTATAGCAGGACTTTTGTTGTTCCATTTTTGTCGTGCTGGTTGATGTTTTATCCTTCTTTGCCTGTTAATTCTAATTCTTTGTTTGCACGGTTTTTCTGAGTTTCTAATGAAGTGAATCTAAGAGCATGGTGATCCTGTTGGTTTTAATTCCAGGGTGAGAGACTTTTAGGATCCCTTGGTGGCATGTTCTCTAAAACTTGGAAGCCAAAGAAGACTCGTCCAGTGATGGGGCCTGTGATCACAAAAGGTTTGTGCTTCTGCTATCCATCTTCGGTTTCCAGAACTAGTTTCTTGGTATTTAATTTCTTTTACAGGCAAATGTTGACCCAATTATATAACCTGTGATCACAAATAGACAACTTGGACTTTATCATACAAATGTCATATAAACAAAGATAGGTGAAAGCAAGTATGGAGGTACAAGACTTGAGACTCCACAATGAGCTACTGTTTGGCTAAAGATCTGTGCTAAAATGAAGTTGCTTCTTGATTGCAGATGAATCTCAACGGAGAGGTAACCATCTTCAGCAGAGGGAAAAGTTGGGTCTGAGTACTGCATCGAAGGGGGCATCTAACCCACGGAAGCTCCCAACTGAACCAACTAATTCATATCAGAAAGTTGAGGTCTGTATTTAAGTTTTCCACCTTCTTACTGAACGAGTGACTTAATAAGAAGGAACCTAGTTAGTTGAAGCAAACGAGAAAGATAGTGCAACTGGGCTACTAGACGAATATCTTCCCAATCCATGTCTCATTTGAGATAGACCTGCTTACCAATATTTATTAACATGTTAAGAGAAACTTTTATGAGTTATCAAAGCATTGGAGTTGTGTATAACCATTGGCTAGGATCTTCAAATTAACCATTGAACTATCTGGAATTCGACTGAAACAGATTGAGAAGGCCAAGCAGGATGATGGACTGACAGATTTAAGCAACCTATTGGGGGAGCTGAAAGATATGGCTGTTGATATGGGAACCGAAATAGACAAGTGAGTTTCTCCTTTCCTAATATGTCCTCGTTTCGGTGAAAACCTTTTTCTTCTACTCGTTTTAAAATTTCCCTAGTCTGGTGGTGCTATGTCCACAAGTAAAATTTAGTAACATGATTGATAATCATTTTGAGTGGTGATTGCAATACAGGCAAACCAAGGCTCTGGATCATTACCAGGATGATGTGGATGTGCTAGATATCCGTGTTAAGGGAGCCAATCAACGCACTCGTCGTTTGCTGGGGAAGTAGTAAATTGTCCTAGATCATGTTAGATACTGTGCGGCTCTGCTGGCTGGAAGAGATGTTTACTCTCGCTCATTTTCTCACTGTATCTCTCACCTATGTGCTTGAATTGTTATGGGAATTCAATCTCCCTTTTAATAAGACGGTACATTATCTTCTATATCAAACTGACATTGTAATTGGTACACCATTTAATCATTTATACAGTTTGACCCTTGTGGCTGAGTGTCCAGCATTAGAGAACCTTATTGTCACTATTTCTCAATTTACGTTCAGCAGTGGTAGTATGTAGTAATGTAGTGAAGTGAGTGGCAGTCAGGTAAATTGTTTGGTGTCAATGACTCGATGCATATATGGTATAACAGCAGGGGAAGGGGCACAGTTAATAATATTAATAGTTGTATGATTAATAAATTAATTCAGTACGTTTTACCGTTTATTATAATGTCAATTAGGCATTTTAATTGCGATGCAGTGGGGGAAAAATCAAGTCGCCGTTCAAGACAGAAAATCAAGTCGATGATATGGCAGGAAAGATTTTTTTTGACAAAGGATGATCAGATCAAAAAAGATAGTTACATCCTGAAATTTAACAAGACCATAAAATCAAAGAAACGACTCACAGTCAGGTACAAATGAAGGGCCTTCCTAGCCACCAAATGGGCTACCCTATTATTACGCCGACCTACAAACCGAACACTTAACCCGATATGATCGGACAAGGAACGGAGAACTTCGTCCAATAGGGCTCTAATCCGATTGTCTCTGTTATTGGCCTGCTTGAGCTTGTCAATAAGCACCTCGACATCCCCTTCAAATCGCATTTCCGCAAACCCCGAAGCCACACACCAAAGAATCGCCTCCCGGAGCGAGAGGACCTCAGCAATCAACAATCCCAGCAAACTGGACTCCTCGAGCCATAAGAACCACCCCTGCCTGGGACATAATAACCATCCCACCAGCCAATTGAAAGGCGGGTGATAAGGCTGATGAATTAGGCAATAACGACAGAGGCTGGCCCATAAGGATTTAGCGGACTATGAGATCCGGACACTAGCGTGTTAAAGGAAAAAGGAGAAGTGGGAAAAAGACATATGACAATCGTATGAATCGATAAGACCTTCTCGATTGGCCCTAAACAAGCTCTAAGGTCAAACAAATTCATGACAATATTTTACGAGCCTGTTGGGATATAGTGGGTAAGTCAGTAACTGAAGTTGTACGTGTCTTTTTTCCTGAAAGGTCGTATCTTACAAAGTTCGATCATACCTATATCACACTAATTACAAAGGTTGATATAGTAGAGTTAACAAGGCAACTCCACCATATCCGTTTGCACAAATTTGTTTACAAGGTGGTCGCCAAATTGCGAGTAATGTATTGATTGTGCATGTGTTGATGCACCATTTGAAAAACAAGACAAAGGGAAAGAAAGGATATATGGCTCAAAATGTTGATATGGAAAAGGCATATGACAAAGTTGAGTGGTTGTTTCTGTTTGCTATCTTAGATCCCTTGGGGTTTAGTCCAGTTTGGATTAAGTGGATTCAAGCGTGTGTTGTCGACATCATTTTCGGTCGTGATGAATGCCTTCGGGATTTTTCAGACCCACGCGAGGATTGCGGCAAAGAGATCCATTATCTCCTTTGTAGTTTGTCCTTTGCACGAATTGATTTTATGCTTTAATTCAGAAAGTATTGCTTAAGGGTTAGTTCGTGTGCACCTCTTGTATCTCACCTATTTTTTCACGAATGATTCGTACTTATTCCTGAGGGGACCACTCCATGAATGTCATAATTTATGGAAGTACTTCAAGAGTATTATGTCTTGAGTGGACACAAAGTTAATTTGGCAAAATCAACATTTTGCTTTAGTAAGAATATATTATCTGGAAATTGTGCATGGATGGCTAAAATTTTGGGGCGGGGTAGTGGTAGACCAAGATAAATATTTGGGCCTCCCTACTATTTTAGCTTGGTCAAAGTATGATACATTTCAATATTTGGAGGAGAGGCTATTGCAAAAAATCAAGGGTAGAAGCAAGGACATATTTCATGGGCCACAAACGATACTTTGCTTAAGATACTAACGTTGCAATACCTATATATGTCGTGCATTGTTTTAAGTTATCGCATACATTGGATAAGCATATGACATGACTTTGGGGGCGATGATAAGGACAATTTGCATTAGGTATCTTTATGGACGCTCTCCAGAGCACATATGATTATGGGTGGCCTTACATTCCGACGTTTTTAGGTATTTGACCAGGTTTTGTTGGAAAAAGTAGGGCGGCGGATTTTCGAGAAGCTTGATCCATATTATCATGCATTTAGAAAGGAAAATATTTTGCTAAAGGAACTTTACTAACGGCTACTAGTGATTCACGTCCCTCATGGGGAAGGGTTCGAGTGGTTCCCGTCCCTAGTGTCATCTACTTCAGGAGGGATTGAGGTAGCATGCAGATAGTGGAACAAACATTCACCTAATTTCTTCAAGTTGGGTCCCCAAATCGCAACCACACCCGCTCCCTTCAAGCGAAGAGATGGTTTCCTTGATGATCATTCTTGGCGAGGGGAGATAATTCGGGATATATCAGAAGACATAATGATGGTAATTGGGTGGCATTACCTCAAGGCTTGGACAATCCTGAGGTGGTTGAATTGCCGACATTGCATGATGTACTTTGTTGGTGTTCGCAACTTGGTTCGTCTAATGAAGTTTCGAAGTGGATGGCACGAGAGTGATTCAAAAGGAAAATTCACCAACGAATGGAGATGGCATGGGAGATCTACTCACCCTTATGATCGCTAATCCACAAGTTCTTTGCTATTTGAAGGCTCCCGACTTGCTCTTTTCCTTTAATTACACAATTAACAAGTCATTCAGTGATATATTACACGCATGGAGTCGATATCATCATATTTGGGGAAAATGGGACACACACGGCCTGCCCTACCCCCTGAGTTTACACGGCCGTGCATTTCATGGTTTTGGCCGTGCAGACCTCCTGGAAGCTTCGCACGACTGTGTGGCCGTTTGCACAACCCTTGCAACTTACCACCTTTCACGGTTTTGGCCCTTTATCCCTCAATTCGTTATCAAATTGACCGATTCTTTTTCCTACTTAAACTAGATTCATAAATCTACAAAATACCATAATTCTAGACTATTTGGACCAGCCATTTGAGCGCGAGAATAAATTCAAGTTGAAGGTTCAAAACTGTTTTCGACTTCATTTTAACTACTATCCTTCCTTAGATCACTAACATGTTTATTCTAGGAAATAAACATGATTTCTTGAGCTTTGGCTACTTGTTCACTTTCACATCAAAATACCTAATTCCAGCATTTTTAGAGTTCACTTGAGGAAGAAGGACATGAGAACACTCTTATATTTGATTAAAGATTCTCCTTTTGATTCCTAACTCTCAAACTTGGCTTGCTTACCCTTGATTCTCCACAATTGGGTAAAGAAGTAGAAATCCACATTATTATTCCGAAGTAACTTCAGTTTAAACATCGCTACAAGATGGAAAAATTGTTTGAACAACATCAATATTACCCTTCATATTAAGGTTTGTTTCGTTCCAATTCATTTGCATGATTGTTTGAACAACATCAATTGCATCCCTATTTTATTCCTATTCGATTTTAATGTGATTTTAAAATTCTTTAGACAATACATGCGAAATAGGTACAAAATAAGATCACAAGTGTAGCAAAAGGTGCAGAAGACCGAAGATCGTGGCCTGGAGATAGGGATCACGGCCAAGAACCCTACTTGCAAAGTCAAGCTGAAGATCACAGCTTGGAAGCTCAAGATCGCGGCCGCGAATAGGAGGGCACAGAATGCAAACATTTTGTAGAAGCAGCTAAGGAGAAATAAAGAGTTTCCCCAGGAAGAACACGACCGAATGGTGTTATTCACCTTGCATTTATTAGCTGATTTTGTGTTAAACTGATTTTAATTGTTTTACAAAATGTCATTTGCATGCCCTTTTCGTTCCTTTTCGATTTCTACAATAATTTAGATGCATTCAACATTAAGAGCAAAGACGGGAAGAAAATGGGCAAAAATATGTAGAAACAAGGAGAAAGACTAGACAAGGCAAAGAACGCAGTTGAAAGGCTCAAGTGCCCGACCGCGAAGATGGGCAGCAAAGTCTTCCAGAAGATCGCGGGCCAAAGCCAGAAAATCACGACCGAGAAGATGAGAACACTGGCAGCGAACTTTGGAAGGATGCGTCGCTAGAAGAACAAAGAGTTTCCCCACTCTCTTCGCGGGCAACGTGGATGTTGACCAAGTAAAAAGATCGCGCCCGCGACATAGAAGTTTGCGGCCGCGAACTTGCCTTAGATTTCCAGCGCCTATAAATAGAAGAGCTGCTGTAGTGAAATAGGAGAGTTGCCTTGGGGTGAGAAAATTAGGGTTTTGGAGTGCTTTAGAGAGAGAAACACCTTTGGAGAGCTTCATTGGAGATCCATTCAACCCAAGGAGTAAGGAGAAGGTGCAAGAAAGGAGAAGAAGCTTCATTCCATCATTCTCCTCTTCTAGTTTATATTTTCTTCTTCTCTCTATTGTCTTGGATCTCTAGTGGTTGTTTATGGTAGATGAACACTAGTTGTAGGTTGTAATGTTTGGATTATTAATGAATGAATGTGTTTGTATAGTTTATTTTAATGCCTCTCTCTCCTAAATGATGACGCTTGGGTAATTTGCCCTAATCTTCCCTCTTAGCCTACTTTATGCTATCGTGTTAGATACAGAGTTCTAGGGTTAGACGAGTATGCGCCAAATGACAAGTTTAGATTAGATGTGTGAATGGGGGCCTATAGTGGTCGAGGCGACCGAACCACTGCTATAGGTAGCCTTCCTAGATGAAACCTGGGATGAAACCTCGGTGTGGATAGTGGATAGTGTCCATTGAAATGAGCCATAAACTTAATGCCCCAGATATAATAGCCTAGATCGAGGTGACTGGAACATGGGTTTAGGGGAGGCGTGTGGATAACCACGAAAGCCCACGAAAAAGAGCTCATTCATCACATCCAATTAACCCTACTTTATAACCTTAGCTAGGAGGATTCGACCCTAGGCAACCATCTCATCTCTAGCGTTCTCCCAACCACTTGGTTGGTTGTTTATTTTGACTTAGGATTAGGTTAATTTAGTTACAACCCCCTCACCAAACTTCCATCCCGATTACATAGTAGTTCGGAGCGAAGTAATATTACTCTTAGGGTTCCCTTAGATACGAGCGAGACACTATACTACAACCCTAGCTAGGTTATACTTGGCTTAATTAGGATTGATTGGAGAGTGTGTTTGGACTTTATAAATTTAAAGCTCGATCGCGCACCGGATCACGATCATCCTGTCCAATCGACAACATCATCCAGCTCCAATTGATAGTGTCCTCTAGAT